TGATATTCCATTAATTGATTATTCAAATTTTTCATCAAAATATTCTTTTCGTTTTCTTCTTTAACCAGTTCCTTTCTAATTACACTCAAAGATTCAATGGTTTCTTTGTCATAAACGTTCATTATTGCTTGTAATCGAAGAACTTTTAATTTTAATACTATAGACCTAACTATACCAGCAAAATAATCATTAAATGCCTTATTTTTTTCTTTTTCGTGATGATATTTAAATTCCTCTATTAGTTCCCATAAATTTTTTAATATTTCTTTCATGACCTAAAGAAAAAGTAAAGATTAAAACATTTCCCCCTTTTTTTTTAATAAAGAAAATCGACTTTCGGAAAGAATGTGTAATCTTACTTTTAGATAAGTTGTAATTCGTTCTCCTAATCGAATTTGATTTTCTATGAGACTAATTTTAGACATTCGTAATTCTTCATGTTTACGTGTCAATACTTGATCCAATTGAAAAGCCTTAGTTGCCAATAGCTTTGAGTTCGTATCTAAATAAAATCAAAAAATATTTTTTTTATAATCCTTAATAATAAATGAAATAAATGGAAATCATGAATTTTTTTTTTTTTACCTTCTCCTAAACAATAGTACAATTTTGCAATATCCTCACATTGATCGGTTAATTTGCTTTCAATAGAGTTTAAAATGATTTTTTTGAATTGATTCAAATAATCTAATTCCTTTTCAACGCGTTTAAATAGTTCTTTTTCTGTTAACCCTAATAATCCTATCGTTATTGCATCATCATCATCTGCCTCTATTCCTTTAACATCAACATTATTTAATGACAAATCTATCGGACGAAAATTCAAATATTGTTTCGACTCGGCAAAGCATAATACTTTATCCAAGGTTTCCAATATCTTTATTACATTATTTTTAAAAAAAGAAAAAAAAATAATTCACATAAGCGCGTGAAAAATATGCAAATTAGGAATGAACAAGTATAACTTACCTTTTCATGCTCTTTACACTTTGTATTTTTCAAATACGCTTGTAATAATGACGGTTGTAATGCATTATATAAAGTTAAATTTTCCAAATATTCCGTTCTTTCTTTAATAAACTCTTCCTACGAAAGGAGAAATTCCGCGTCAAGTTCTTTCCTTTTTAATACTTTACTCCTAATTACCATACCTGATCAATTTCTTTTGCTAACGCCTTTGTAGTTCCATCAGGTGCTAAGTATAGGTTTTTTAGTTGTTCATATAATTCCGCAAGGTTCGGGTTAGCCGTTAATACGGCTCGATTTATTATATCAGACATTCTTTATTGTTCAGGTATTGAAATATCGCGTAAAATATTTGTCGGACTCAAACTTATGACAAATTGCTTGATTCGGTTATTATGTCGCCCAATCACCTTTTCGGGCCTAGTGAAAATTAAAAAAGATCTATTTATCGTATTTCTTTTTACAGTAATATCAACAATTTACTGCGACGCATTTTCTGAATTTCACAAATTTTTATTAATAAGGATTGCCAATGATCTTTTTTTTTTTTTTATTTACTTCTAATATTTTGTTTTCAAATTATTTATAATACAATCACTATATAATTATTATAAACGAGTGTTACTGTCATACTTCATCAACAAAGGTAGCATATTCATAAACCGACAATTGATCTTCTACATGTAAAGCTTGATCTTGTTGATGATGTTGATGTTGATTATGTTCTTCGTCTTCCCCAACAAAAGCAGCGGCCGCAGATGACGATGATTCCCCTTCTAAATTGGTATCTGACATAACTGACGTTGATGTCATTGATATCTCATTATCATTTTCCAATTTTTCTATTGTGGTCTTAACGATATGCGTCATTTTTGGATCCAAATTGTACGTTCTTGTAAAATTTTGTAAGGCCCTCGTTTTATCTCCCATTGCTTTATAAATTTTTCCAACGAGAAAATATACTTTGGGTTCTTTTGGTACAATCTTTTTAAGTTTTTCAAGTTCAATAAGTGCATCCTTTAAGGAAAAAAAAGAAAAAAGAAGGAATAACAATAATTAAAAAAAGTTCTTGTTATCAAGAGATTAATCGCAAGATTAAAGATCTTATCTACCTCATAATAATGATCTCTATATAATGACTTCGCTTTTTTGAATATCGCCAGAGGTGTCTGAGGTGTAACCTGACAAGCCTGATCATAAAGTCTGCGCGCTTCCTCATTCTTACCCATTTTCTCGTATACCTATCAAATGATAATTTTTAATGCATATTATCTTTTTACCATCACAATCGATAACTTAATAATACCATCCTTGCTTACTTTTCCTAAACAACACATTAACACAGCATGGTTTGGATTAATTTCCATTGCCATCTTATAATGATGTTCCGCTTTAGTTTTTTTGTCACATGTCATATAATAATTTGCAAGTCCATACCTATTAATTAATATCATATTAATCAACTTTTTATGAAATAAAAACTTCGAACATTCACTTTAACACACTTACAAAGCGTTATAATGACGCCTATTTGTATTTAAAGCATTCCTAAAATGTTCTTGAGCTTTTTCAAAATTTCCATTGGCCATACTCTCATGACCAGATAAAGTATGTGCATAAGTGAATTTTGGATCTATATGTATCGCTCTTTGGAAGCACTTTAAAGCCAAGTCATGTTCTTGTTGTCGACTGAAACAATTCCCAACTGCGCACCATGCTTGTGGTGAAAGTCGTTCGAATTCAACTAATTCATGTGCAAGTGCGCTTAATACCGTGTCTTTACGTAAATGCCATAACGTTGTAGAAAATATTTCCATGTCTTCTAGACGATATGGTTCCAATTGACGTGCTTTTTGAAAAAATCGCTCGGCCTATCAAAAGTAAGTAATCCAAACATCAGTTTTCGAATATTAATAAAATGTCAAAAACAAATTCTTTTACCATAGAGTAATTGACCATTTCGAAGTATGCTTTCCCTATATGACTTTGAACCCAACCGGTGAAATACTGTGGTCTAGGAAGTTCCGAGAAGGCTTCTATAGCTTTCAAACAATCGTATTGATTTAGGTACGCGTAACCTTTGGCTATCTTTTGTAGTAATTCCAGAACTTCATTACAATTGGATTTCAAATCAATGTCTTCCATTTTATCATAAATATTATCAGGATCTAGTGTAGTTTTTTGTAAAGCTTCAGTCTAAATGTAAACAATGATCATTTTTTTTTTTTTTAAATTAATTAAAAAGAATGAATTAAATTATTGAAACAAGTAATGAATAACTTTACGTTTAATAATACCACTTCATTTTCTACATTTACAAATGTTCTTACATCTTTCCCTAGTCGATATAGTTTATTTTCATCATCAAGACCTATAAAACTTACATCATTATTGCCAATACGAGATCGTTTCTTTTCCCTATTATCTGATGCAGGTGTCGAGGTTAACGGTTGCGTTGCATGCTAGTATTAAACATATGTCGATTGTAATTACTTGATTGATTATGAGAAAATTTATATCAGATCTCACAGTATATACTAATTATTAGAAGGAAAACAAATGCCAACCCTTGTTGTAGAAGGCGGCCGTGAGATTCGTCGAATAGGATCAGGTGTGCTCTTATCACCATTATGCGCCTAACATTTAGCCCATTGTTATTAAAAATATGCGAACGTTAATTTCTATGAAGAATTCGTATAAATATTCATGCATACCGGTTTGGATATAAACATCTGTGAATTGTATAGTTTGTCTGAACATGAAGTTCTACAACTCATGAACTTTTCACTTTTTGGTTGGAATATTTCGTCAATTTCAATCTGAGTTGATTTACCTGTGAATCGAGAATTAGAATTAGTTAATGAATGTATTAAAGTTAACTCTCAACTTTTATATTTAAACTAACAAAGAGAATATACCCATTTGACATAAATTTTCAAACGCTTCCCACATAAATGGGTTTATCTTTATGCATTGAACGTAATATTGAGCAGCCTCATCAATACGACGCGCATTTTTACATAAAGATCCCAATAAACATAAGACGGATGCTAAATCTGGTGTTTGATTAAATTTTGAGTCAACAAATGGATCTAATTTGATTATAATTGTCAATGGATATAAATAAGTAAAACTTGGGTTATATTTTAAAGTAAGAAGTAAATAAACAAGATTAAGAATTTTTTTACCCTGTGAGTTTCGTGACTCTAAACTACTTACAATAGTAAGTAATTTTTCTTTGCCTTCTTCCGCCTTATCCAAATCCAAACAACACCTTGCAAGCAGATATTTGCATTTAATTGAATCGGCATTGTTCAAAAGAGTATATGCAGCTTTTCGTTGACCACTTCGATAATGACAAGTAGCCAGCAAAAAACGCGAATTTTCATTTGCAATATCCTGTGCGAACAGTCTTTCCGCGAGAAAAGTTGCATTTCTATACAAATGATTTTCCAAAGAATTGCAGATCATGCCTTCCAGCTGCATAAATGAAAGGTGATTTATGCTGTTTGCCGTCATAATGTTATAATTACGTAAAAAGTGTAAAGGGCGATCACAAAGTTTTTTATTGAATTATAATTATACAGCAATCCAGGTAATGATGTATTGATGGACTGACCAATTATTCTCGCGATGTAGGGTTTTATTGGCTAATCCTGTGTAGATCCTAAAACAGTAACTGGTAATCGGAATCTCGTGATCTTCGGCATCTAAATTAGTTAGTTTACTGGATTGTAAAAAAAACTAATAACTAATATAATTTATTTATTAACAAATATGTACAAAACCAATGCTTGCGATAAAATTACACAGAGAAGATACGATCAATAAAATATTTTACATATTTTCTTATTTTCTAAATTATATATGTATAACATTCCCCATAAAAAAAAGAAAAAGAAAAGAAAAAAAAAAAAAAAAATTTGATAATTTCACACATTATCGCAAACGATGGATAAGAAAGAAAATACCTCTATACATAAATAAATAAAATAACAAAAAGTGCGAAAATAAAAATAAATGATTCTCATATATTAACTGTTCTTTACAGGAGCACAATTTTTTTTATGTCCGTTCTTCCAATCCTTTTTTTGACAATCCTTGGAACAGTAATTTACAACTGAACATCCGGCACAAATCAACAATTTATGTTTCTTTTCTGATTCCAATTCTTCACTTACATATTTACGTGTTTGACTACCACAAGTCTTGCATCTCTTCTGTTGTTCACCATTAGGAGGCAATGCAAGTAATTTCTGAAAAATTGGGGCCAATCTCTCAGCTTCCTTCTTTGAATCCTTTTCAACTTTAATTTCTTTGCTTCCTTTTTGTTCAAACAAAGCTATCGCAGTAAGCTTAACTTCAGTAATGTCAGGAATTCGTCCGTAAAGATATTTATATCTTTCTTCCGCTTCCTTAGCCTTTTTGTAGTAATTAAGAGCTTGTTGATTACGCAAATTTTGCTTAACCTGATTTCGATTTCCCGTTGCTGGGCTAGTTGCACTTTGGCCAGCCAGCACGGATAGAGCATAAAGAGCGTGTGAATAAGAAGTTGAATCTTTATTAGCCTTCCAAATGTAAGTTTTAAAATTACGTTCAGCATCCGTACGATCACCGTGTGACATTTGTATAGAACCTTGAATGCTATAAGCATCAACAAAATTGGGGTTGAGTGATATTAAACGTTCAAGATCTTTGATACAATTTTTGAAATCGTCGGTGGCTAGGTAACACGAAGCACGAAGATGGAGAAGACGAGGATGAAGTTTCGGTTCTAGTTGGATGAGAGCTATTGACAGGGTCTGAATACAGAACGGGTATTGTTTACCATTGAAAAGGAGCCAAATGACCAGTATAAGCGACCTTTAGAAAATAATAATATTTTGAATAATCATATCAAGAAAGGAAACCTAAAAATCTTTTTTTTTTAAAAAAAAAAAAATTAACACCATACTACTGTTGCTATAACTTACTCTCGTGTGAATTCTGGCTCAATATTATCATGACCATCCTGAGATGGATTAAGATTTTCCGACTTTTGTGCCTCTACCATCTTATCTTGTTTTACATCAATATCATCCACAACTAATTTCTCTTTATTTTCACTTTCGGCTTCGCGTTTTTTTTCAATTTCGGCTTCATCTTTTTTTTCACTTTCAACTTCCTCTTTACCTTTCTCTGTTTCTTCTTCTATTCTTTCGCCTTCTGTTTCTTCTTCCCCATCCAATTTTAAAAGTTTTTCATATTGTTGAGCAAGTGTCATAATTCTTGGTGACATTTCCGTAGCTTTATCGTCGATCAAAAAAGCCTCAACCAGAAATTTGGTCGACTCCAAAATTTCGTTTTCATGAGCTCTTAAAGTTTCTTTATCAGATTTATCGGGAATTTTAGATGCAACCTCAAGCCCTTTTTTAAACAATTCTTTGGCTTTAAAATACTTAATTTATAAAAGATCAAATAATTTATTATAGTAAAATTTTGAACTACTCGTAAAATAAAAAAAAAAATAAAAAATAAAATGAAATTTGCTTTTAATGACTACCTCTTCAACTTCAGGATCATTGGTCTCTCTTCTCTTGTTGCGACGTTCCAATAAATCATATTCTTGAAACCTTACAGGTTTCTCCATAAATGTATCTTCATGGTGATTTTGAGCATGGTCGTGATCGTGTTCATGAGAGTGCCCATGGGGGTGCGAGTGGTGGTCGTGAGAATGTTCGTGGTCGTGGTCGTCGTGAGCGTGGTCATGAACGTGACCAGGATTTGAGGAATGGGTTTCCTGGGGGTGGACTTGTAGTTCTGTCATATCTAAAATTAATTTAATTTTGTAAAGAAAGTTACTCGAGAACTATTATTAGATTTGTCGATTCAAAAAAAGACAATGGTTTTTTTGAATGATGAGGGATTTTATGATAGGTGAAGTTGAATGAACATCTTTTGTACGACCATGAAACATGCAAAATAAAGTAAATAAGGTAAAATAAGTAAATACACCCATATTCTGACGACTATGAAACTAATTAAGAGACGAATCGAAAAAGATCGCTCGGTATTAATTTAAATAATTTTTTTAAAATGCTTTTTTTTAAATATTAAATCGAATCGTTGTCCTGACAAAATTTATTAGGGCTTTTTGGTCCTTTGTCCTGAGGAGCTCGAAGATATGTGGCATGTTTATAACCTGATTTCAATAGGCGATCAACTTAAAGCTACAACAATTCGGTATATAGATTATTTCCTTTATTATTTTTTAAAAAAATTATTATTCCATAAAGTGACCGAACATGCTTTATTAAAATATTTAGCCGAGTTCAGCGTCAAAGTACTACCGGATCAGTAGTATCAGAACGCGTCAGATGTGTGTTGACAATAACTGTAGATAATATCGAGTTCGATTCGCAGGGTGGTCTATTGAGAATTAGAGGAAGAGTCATTACCGAGAATCGATATGTGAAGGTATGTGTAAAGTGTTGATAGTTTCAAGCACGTATATCTATAAATCAAATAAATTTGAATGTGTTACGTTTTAGATGGGTACATATCATACCATCGATCTTGAAATGAACAGACATTTCACACTTTTAAAACCCGAATGGGACATAATAGCGCTTGAACGTGTGAATGAAGCATGTGATGTTACGAAACAAGCAGATGTTGCCGCGGTGGTTTTACAGGAAGGTTGGTGCCTTTCATATTTAATTTTGCCTTTATTTTTTTAATTCCCAAGCTCACAATGGATTTTAGGGTTAGCAAACGTTTGTTTGGTCACACAAAATATGACGATTGTCAGACAACGGATCGAACAACCTGTTCCACGGAAGAGAAAGGGCTCTGTGACAAATTACGAAAAAGTATTTCACATAATGTCTTTTTAAGATACGCCCCCTTTTTTTTTCTTAATGTTTTTTGGGATTCAAATTATCATTTTAGGGATTGCAAAAATTTTTTGATCAAGTCATGCAAGCCATTATAAACCATGTCAATTTTGAAATTGTAAAGGTCATTATTTTGGCTAGTCCCGGTTTTGTCAAGGTAAACCAAGAACTTTTAATTTCAACCTGAATGAACTGAATGATTCTTATCAATAAAGTTTAATCAATTAATTATTGTTAAAAAGTAGGATCAATGCTTTAATTATATCTTTGCCGAGGCAGTGGTAAGATATATATATACTCTTGCCGGCTAAATTTATTTCTATTACCAAAATTAGTTATGTTGACCAACTTTTCACTACCAAACTTTTGTTGTAGAAACAAGAAAACAGACAACTTATTGAGAATAAATCAAAGTTTGTTCTTATACATTGTTCTTCCGGCCATAAGTATGCTTTGCAAGAAGTATTACAAGACCCTTCTGTACAAAGTCAGCTTTCCGATACGAAATACGCACAAGAAGTTTTAACGCTTGATCGATTTTTCAAGATGTTAAACGATGATCCTGATAGGGCTTTCTATGGATGGAACCACATAAAGAAAGCTGAAGAGAGAGGTGCCATTGGAACTTTGTTGTTATCGGATGAGCTGTTCAGGTAATGTTATAGCTCATTTTCATACGATTTGGGACCTTTTGAATTAAAAAAAAAAATGATTATGATTTGTAGGGCAGCAGATATTCCGACTCGTAAGAAATATATTCAACTTGTCGAGTCAGTACGTGGCACTGGTGGTAAAGTGCTGATATTTTCAAGTTTACACGTTTCAGGGGAACGTAAGTAATTTAGTTGATTATTAAACCGTTTTATACAATTTTCATTAATTTATTTTTTTTTTAAAAAAAAAAAATAGAACTCAATCAACTTACTGGAGTTGCAGCAATATTAAACTTTCCTTTACCAGATATTGAGTTGGAGGATGAGGAGGATGAGGAAATCGAACGAGCAGCTGCAATGGAAACAACATAAATTGAGAAATTATATTTATTGAGGAGAAATTTTAAATATCTATTTAACAAGTGATTTCAATAATAACAAAATCATATGAAAAGAAAGGAGAAAATTAATAAGCATTTAACATTACTATCTTTCATTATTGAAAAAGAAAGGAATTTTATTTATTGAAAAAATAAATATATATATATATATTTATTTTTTAAAAAATAAAACGTGATACTAAGATACGTGTTTTTGAAATAAACTTTAATTAACTAATCATTGTGGGAAAATCTGATCAACCATGTGTGTCGATCCTTTCATTTAAGGTTATTAGGGTGTCGTTCATTATATTCAATAACCCTAACCAAAAAAGGGCCGAACAGTTTGTAAAGAATTCACGAGATTAAAGATAAGCTTTAACATCACCATACATGAATTGACGCAACTGCAATAGGTAATGAGATGAATTGAAGATAACATTATTTGAATGAAAGATTCTATAAACTGATGAAATTGCTTAGCATATCACATTCAAAAGACAATTTTAAAGATCATCTATTTTTTTTAAAAAAACGAATGAACAATATTCCAAAAAAGTACAAACGAGAAAAAAGATGCCTGATGATTGGTGTTAAAGTGGCGACGTGGCTATGTGGCTATGTACTACATGATGAACGTTTCAAACCCCTGAATCATCCCGAAAAAGTTATCTTTACTTTGTAAAGTTTGCGCAGTAGTGTGTAACTTCCCTCAAAATTGTTGAGGTTGACAACTTTTTTCATTATTCATGATGACTAATTAAATTACAATTAACGCGTGATTTTTTTTTTAAGACATAAATATATGTTGCTTTAAAAAAAAAAAGCCTTTTTTTTATCCTTTTTCTTTTTTTTTTTTCCTTTCCAACTCTCAACTTTTGGTCATTTATATATAAGAATAAATTTTATAAAAAAGAAAACCTTCGACATATATCGGATAAAAAAAAGAAAATAAATGGCAGAAAATGTTAGAAACATGATTTCTCCCGGTCTTATGATTTTAAATCAACGTCGTCGAAGAAGAAATTATACTAGAATTCGTCAAACCACTCAACGTCAAGGTCTTAGAATCGTGATTGGAAGTTTTCAGAACCGTACGCAAATCAATAACTATAACACCTTGAATCGTATGTCTCAATTAACATACCAAGCTACAGATAATACATTTGCAGATCAATTGTTCAATGGAACTTCGTTCCCTTGAAATGATATTTCTCCAAGTATTTAAACATTTTTTTTTTTTTTTTGATTTATACTATATACTGGTTTCTGTTATAAAATTCTTTTTTTTTTTTTACTTATTTATCTCAGCTCTCTAAGCTAAATTAATGACAAAAAAAAAAAAAAAGAAAAGAACGCAAGCGAAGTTCGATTCTATTTTTTTTTTTTTCGCGTTTTGGGAAACGGTGATCATCATTTGTTTGCTTTCAGCCACACACCTCCACACATTCCTCTCTTTTTTTTTTTTTTTTTTTGGGCTCAGTTTCTCAGTTTCCAAATTTGTATTTTTATTTTATTTTTTTTTTTATCCAACCTTTATTTATTTTATTCCTTTTAATTTAATATTTTTTTATAAGAAACTAAATATTTACCTGGTGCGCCGCTAATTGAAAGAGTATGTAGAGTATGTCAAGTTTTTACATTCATGAGTATGTGTAATAAAACAAAATATGGACTTTTATAGTTAAGTTGGTTTGACTTTCTTTATAATAGATGGCGACTATAATATTTTATGGTGATTCTATGAGAAGGATATTACAAAATTACAAGGAAAAAATGTTGGTGTTGGGTCATGTATTTTTAAAGAAACATTATTTATTTTTAAACTTTTTTACTGAGAATTATATATGTAACATGAACATTATAAAGATTGATTATATTATTATAGATTTCAATATATAAATTTAAAACTTATTATAATTAAAAAGTAATCGTATATATTGTTATTTCAAAGTGAGATTTTGCGACAATTCAACCAACCTACAAGAAAATATCGTTACACTTTATTCCACAAGAAATCAAGAGATTAAGAATGAAAAGTACGTACATTATTCATCATAATCCTCTATTATTGCGTCTTCCTCCTTGAAAACCTTCTACAATTTCATAATTAGTGTAAGAATATACCTCATTTCCAAGTTTCCTTCTCATATGAGCTACAATTTTTTCTTGTAACCAAGCTTTGTCCCTTGGAACGTAAGCGTTTATCGTCTGATCATATACAAGTGCTGCGAATTCTCTACATTGACTAATAAATCCTATCAAATCACCAACTTTATAGTGAACTTGTCCGCGAGTTGGATGTGACTCTGCGAGTCGCGTTTCGTACATTGCAATAATGGCTGTCATTGATATTCCGATTTATAAAGTGTTAGGATTAAAAAAAAAAGTCGCGTTAAATGTTACTTGTTAAATTAAAAACATTTAACTTTATGCTAAGAAACCTTCTCCCCTTCAAAATTAATAGGGCTTACCGACCTTCAACCGCAAAATTTATGTTCTCATGTTCAGTCCAAGTACGTGGTTTGTTACACCTTTGGAATAAAAGAAGAGTATGCCCGTTCTAAACATAAAATCCCGTTACTTACTGCAAAGAAGAATGATTTTTTCCTTTCACAAGTTTCTCAAATTATATTATAAACATACCATTTCGAAAAAGTGTTTGAAAGAGAAATAAAAAAATGACTGAACAGTAAGAAAGTTTCAATTCTCCCAAACCTTAAAAATAATGGCTGGCGTCAAAAATATTTTGAATCGGAAATGTACCGACATCACGTGGCACTATCAATATATCGAATCACTAAATTTAGATAAAAATACATAGTTCCAACGAAAAATTTTTCTATCCCTCTTCTCTCTCTCTCTCTCTCTATCTATCCATTTCGAAAACCTGAATTATTTGTTATCTTTTTGTTCATCATCGATTTAATTTAAAGAATAAAAGATTTACATTTTCTTATAAAATTTGTTAATTAAAATTCGTCTTTCACTTTTTGAAGACTGTGTTGTAGAGAAAGAATTTTGCCATGCTTAATCATTTGAGGTTTATATTAGAGTTAATTTCGTTTCAAGGCGCTTCGTATTCTTTGACAATAAGTGCTGACGTATTAGAAATTTAATGCTTTTACATGTAATTATAATTCAAGTATATAAAATAGTTTTTTTCTTCTTTTTAATAAAATTTATTTTTATTTTACAAATATGTCTTCATCAACTTCTGCTCCTGCTTCTTCATCAACCTCTGCTCCTGCTCCAAAAAACCGTCCACCACACGTCAAGTGATCAAAAGAGGCCACAGGCGCTCTTATAAAAGAGTGAAGAGAGAAAAATGCTGTAAATATTTTAATATAAATTATTTTAATATATTATATCAATTATTTTTTAATTTGTAAAATTATTTTA